CAGTCCCGATTTTTGGTGTTTTAAAAAAGTCCCGATTTTTGGAAAGAATGCACGACAAGCTAGGGAACGGTCTATTTGGTCCATATAGACCAAATTTTTAATCAAGACACCCCACCCCCACCCCCCGGTCAATGGTGTCCCGCTTTAAATCTGGTCACTTTACCTTTGGGGAGTCTCTCTGCCACCCCGCTCACCCCGCAAAGACTGAGGGGCGGGGGTCATGCCTGCTCACCTTTGAAGAAGACAAACTTGCCATCCTTCCTCTCGTAGGCTGTGTTGATGGACGCGGGCAAGCCCCGCCAGAACTGGCCGATGGGCATCGGGTAGCCGTCCATCACCTGGTTATTCCTCACCCGCCAAAACCAGCGTTCCTGGGCGGCACCGGGGAGGAAGAAGAGGAGGGCATATTATTGTCCGAGCTCCCAAGTCCCCCTCTGTCCTCCTGCGGCTATTTTCACCCAGCCTCCCTGCTGCAGAACCTTCCCGTCCCCCCAAACCAGCCCGCCCTATCCGCCCCTCACCTTGAAGACAAACATCTCCCCTCGAAGCACGGCCACTGTGTCGAAGTTCCCGTCACAGATGTTGGGCCCGTAGGTGGGGTTATGGGGCTTATCGGGCACAGAGGGCCGGGAAGTGGTCCTGGGGTGCGAGGGTGTCTTGGTGGGGGACCCGGCCTCACCCCCTGGTGGGGAACAGGAGGGCCTTCTCAGACTTGGTGGCAGAAGGGGAGGGAAGAATGGATGGATGGGCGGGGGCAGCACGCTTGGACCTCTGGGGGCAGGCTGAGACAATTCACTGGGAGAAGACAGAAAGGGAAGATCAGAAGCAGGAGCCGGTGGAAGCCAAGGAGGGGAGTGGGAGCAGAGGAGGCAGGACTGGGAGTCCGGCGGGGGCCGGGGGTGGGGGTGGCACGGCCCAGAGAGAGCAGTGGGTTCAAGGAGCGAGCAGGGCCGAGAACTTGCCGTAAAGCTGCTGGATGCCCCTGCGGTCGTCATCGGGCAGCACAAAGTTCTCCGTGTCCATCCACTGGTAAAAGGGTGCCATGATGGCCGACGGGTCATTGGAGTGCTCGAGGCCCAAGGCATGCCCCAGCTCATGCACGGCCACCAGGAAGATGTCATTCCCTGGAGGGGGCGGGGGAGGATGGTTAGGATGAGGGCCCAGGCCCCCCTCCCTCCCAGTCCCTTGCTGTTCCACACCCATGCCTGCCTGCCAAGTTCCCATCCAGATGGCCCAATCCTCGGGCCCAGCCTCGTGATGGGTGGGCTGCGACTGACGGACAAGGCCAGTCAGCAACTTCCTCCTCGAGGCGGAGGTGCGAGAGTGCACTCTGGGGCAGGGTCTCAGGAGGGTGTGTGTCAAAGGAAGTGGAGGTAGGCCTCCGCTTCTACCAGGCGCTAACGGTCCCGTCCTACCCTAAGGCGTGCCCAGGAGAGTGAAGTCTTTGGGAAGGCAGTTAGTAGCCGAGAGAAGGGCCCTGGCATAAGGCTCTCCAGGCAGGATCCCTGCTCTGGTTGGAAGTCAGACCAGGAGATGTTTGTGGTTCCTTCTAGCCCTGAGATGCTGGGGGGGGAGGACCCGCCCCCCTGTAGATGGTCCCAGGCTTTCCCTGGAGTCAAGGGCTCCAGGGCGACCTCGCTCACCATTGAGGTCCTCGTTCCGGACAGTCCAGGGCTCGGCAGAGTCAAAGTGGGTGTCCCCTCCGATGTTGGGGCCTGGGAAGTAGGCGTGGGCCAGGAAGCCGCCCTCGCCATCGAAGGGCGTGCTGTCTCCATGGAAGCCCTCGGCAAAGAAGATCATGATGTCCGCCTGCTTCTCGTGGCCCTCCCGGATGTAGGTGTAGGGCACCTCGCGGAAGCGCAGCGGCGTGTTGCTCTCCCACACACGGAACGCCTTGCGGATGGCCTCGAAGGTGGCATACTCGCCCACCTTGGGGGTATAATTCTGGATGCTGGGGTCCAGCCACGAGGGGAGAGGATGGGGGGTGTGTGTTAAGATAGCAAGGGGCGACCGTCTTCCTCCCTGCACTCTCCCCAGGTCTGACTGAGCTGCCCCCCCACCCTCTGCCTTCCCGGGTGGCTTTTCTTGCTGCTTCCTGCCAATTCATCTTAAGAACTGAGGGGAGGGCCTGGGGGAACCCCAGACTTTGGCTTTCTGAGGCTGAGGTGCACCGCCGCCGACCCCCCCCCCCCACTGGCTGCATCTCTTTCCAAGATCACAGTTACTGTCTTCCCCACTCCCAGAAGTTTGAAAGGATGTCGGCCCGTCAGACTCACCAGAAAGTAATCTCAGTATGTTGCCACTTGAGACCCTGGATGGCGTACCGCTTCCTTCGGACGTTGGCCTTGATCTCAGCCCCAAACTTGTCTGGGACACCACAGCGGGGCCTCCTCATGGCCCTGGGGCCGGGGAGAGGAGAGGGAGGTTAATGACTGGGGTCAGGACAGGGTATGAAAGAGAAAGG